AACGGAGGCCTTTCAACTTACAGCAAGATTCTCCCTTTTCTCTATTTCTTCTCAGAAATACTGGTTAAGTCTCAGGTAGTTTTATGTACTCACGACCACAAATGAGCCCCACATTTCTGTTGTTAAGTGAGACATTTGGTTGTTAAGTGAGACTACCTTATCAACTGCAGTGATTCACTTAACAACTCTGGCAAGAAAAATCGTAAAATGAGCAAAACATTTTTGCGTGTTAACGAAGCGAGTTTTTGCTCACTCGTTTTTCCTAGATTGTAGGGGTGATACCTAAACATAATTTTATCACATTTTATTTATCTATGTATTAAATTATTGTATTTTGTTCCAATTTCATTTCAAACTGCATTTTGTTCCAATTTCAGTTTTAAATCGTATTTTATTCCAATTTCATTTTAAATCTTATTTTATTCCAATTCCATTTTAAATCGTTTTTATCAGATTTTTAGTAATAATTTGTGTCTGGAACTCTGCCCTTGGATATGGCCCAAGCGCTGATCAATAAAGTAAACTAACTTAACAATCATGTGACTTACTTGACAAATGCAGTGATTCCCTTAATGACTCTGGCAAGGACAGGATGGATAAAAATCAATGGTTTTTTAAAAAAAATAATTAAAAAAAAACCCTCAGATTCAAAAAAAATTAAATTGGATTTTTTTTTTATTTTTATCAAATTTATTTTAATAAAATGCTTTTGGAGTAAAAAATCTATCTAAAGATAGTTTTCTATTTAAAATACATTAATAATTTAGTTTATTCAGCATGAAATGGGAGCTTAATTATGCAGCATATGAGGCTGCATATTCTGCAATATTTACATTTTTGGTAAACTCATTCAATGAATCCAAGCTCTGCCAGCTGAGATAACATGCACTGCACTGATGCATTCACAGAATTTCACAGCCAACCATGAGAATAAATATTAAAACAAAGTTCAAGAATAAGCCTTTATCCCATTGTGTTGCAAATCTACGTAGACTACAAACTGTATGATTGTTTGAAGAGAAACCCCTCCCCCCTTTTTAGCTCTTTTTAGCTTTTTAAGTGGAAATTGGGTTTTAATTGGATTGTTTTAAATTGTGGGCCAAAGCTGTATAATTTTTTTAATTGATTTTAAATTTTGCATTGGTATGTTTTTTATCCTTGGCTGTGCACCGCCCTGAGTCCAATAGGAGAAGGGCGGTATATAAATTGAATAAATAAAAATAAAATAAATAAAGAGAAATGCATTTGTACCACCAGGCTCTTAAGTGTGAGGAGGAAGGGCAAGCAGTAACAATGAAAGTGAAACCTTCTAAAGCAGCTTATAAATATAATAATAAAATGCACCATTCATTTCAGATCCATCACGGCAGCGCCTGTTAGCGGGCATCCACTCACCTGCTGCCCGCCACGTCCCTCACTTGTTGTGTCACTGCCGTATCACCAGCTGCCCCATTAAAATGACTGGGATGGTCAGTGAGTCAACAGTGGGTCAGAGGAGGAGCCGCTGCGGGACAGAGATGATAGTTGCTCTTTAAAAAATTATGATTTAAATCGAGTTGATTTAAATCAAGCCTTCTTACTAGTGATTTTAAATCGTGATTTAAATCGGCTTGATTTAAATCAAATCCACCCTGGGCAAGGAAATTGGTCAAAGGGGGCAAAAAAAAAAATCACTTCACAAACGTTTTCACTTAGCCACAGAAATAATTTCCTGGCTCAGTTGTGGTCGTAATTCGAGGACTCCGTGTATTCCGTCGCAGACTCCCAAAAGGAAACTTCCTTACCTTTTCAGTTTCATGTAACTTTCGTTGGCTGCAGGCCGGCATTCTGCTCGTTGGACCACAATTCCTTCCAGGGACAGTTTTTCTGGAACGAAAAAAGAGCTGAATTAGAACCGAAACCCACAGGGGAAAAAAAAAAGACATTTTCGGTTTTGTAAAATACAGGAAGTCCCCGACTTACAATAGTTTGTTTAGTGACAGTTCAAAGTTACGGCGGCACTGGAAAAAGTGACTTATGACCATTTTTCACACTTATGCCCGCTGTGGCATCCCCCCTGGGTCATGTGACAGTAACCGACTCGTATTTATGACGGTTGCAGCATCCCAGGGTCATATGGGAAGCCGGGTTCAATTAACGTTCGTGTGAGTGACAGAGGAACCACCATCATTCACTTAACAATTATGGCACAGTGGAAAATATTAAATTGAAAATGAATACAGCAATAGAGGTGGAAGGGAGGAAGAAGGAGAGAGAGGGACGGAAGAGTAGGGAGGAAGGAAGGGAAGGGAAATTAAGAGCAGGAAAGAAGGTAAGACAGGGAGGAAGAGAGGAGGAGAAGGGAAGGGGAAGTAGAGAAGAGAAGAAGAGGATGGGGAAAGAAAGTAGGAAGAGATAGGGAAGAGGGAGAGGGTAGGTTTGAGGAGAAAGATTGCTGTACAATAAAAAAGATGAAGTGGAAGAAAGGCAACGCCGAACAAATAAATAAAAATATATTAAGATAAAGAATGAACTGTTTAAGAATAAGAGAGAATAAATATGAATAATACTGTAAAGTTAGGATTTAGTGACAAATGAAGATGGTGTTTATGTATGCAAGTATAGAAATATTGAGATATGTTTTTTTAAAAAAGGGGGGAAGATGATTTTGGCAAAAATTGTAATTGAGTAAAATGTATTTGAATTTGAATAATTATATAAGATAAGAAACGGCCAACACTCTGTTCAAAAAAAAAAAAAAAGGGGGTGAATGTGGGAGAGGGGAAAAAAATAAATAAAACCTGTTTATTAAAAAAAACAAAAAACAATTATGGCAAGGAAGATCGTGAAATGGGCAAAATTTCACTTAACAAATGTCTCACTCAACAACAGAAATTAGGGGCTCAGTTGTGGACATAAATCGAGGACTACCTATAGGTCTCCCAAAATGCTCTTCTCAAGGTTTTTCAGGATTGTTCTTTTTTTTTTTTTGGTTGATACAGAACTGGTTTATTCCAGGATTCTAATGAAATAAACCTGTTATAAATAGAGAAGACATTCTCTGACGTTATTAAAAGGATCAATCTGCTTTCTCGTGCATAGGTGTGCCAGCTGCACAGAACTAGAAATTGGGTGTTTTTCGTGAAGGTGATTGCCAGCACATGGCTTGGTTCCACCAGAAAAACAGGACTAAGTAGCATAATTCACATAATATAGCAGCTATTTATAAGGTATCTGGATACTCTTTGCAGGGAAAGGAACCTACATTTTTTAAGTCTGTTAATTTAATCTGCTAATCTGCACATTAACTTTCTTGTACCGAGCTAATGAATGAAACACATGGAATTAATTCACATGACTAAAGATAAAAGTTTGGAAACTAGAAATGTTGCACGTGTATGCCATTTTAGTATAATGTATTTGATTACAGATACACACACACACACACACACACACACTGGGGCAAAAAAGTATTTAGTCAGCCACCAATTGTGCAAGTTCTCCCACTTAAAAAGATGAGAGAGGCCTGTAATTGTCATCATAGGTAGACCTCAACTATGAGAGACAAAATGAGAAAACAAATCCAGACAATCACATTGTCTGATTTGGAAAGAATTTATTTGCAAATTATGGTGGGAAATAAATATTTGGTCACCTACAAACAAGCAAGATTTCTGGTTCTCACAGACCTGTAACTTCTTCTTTAAGAGGCTCCTCTGTCCTCCACTCAGAGTGAGCCAGACTCACTTAACAACCGGGTTACTCACTTAACAACTGCAGTGATTCCTTTCCACACTGTGTCAAGAAAGGTTGTAAAACAGGGCAAAACTCACTTAACGACAGTCTCGCTTAGCAATGGAAATGTTGGGCTGAAGTGTGGTTGTGCGCTGAGGACCACCTGTAGCTGGTCCTTCGATTCTGGCAAATAAGCCACAAGCTACCTTCGTTTCAAAGGCTCCCTCCTGTACAGAAAGCTGGCAGCATTTGTCTACTATTATGGGATGGAAACCTGCAGATTTCTCCTCTTCTGAATCCATATAAACTTCTGTTTATATATATACAGTATATATACATTTATATAATACACACACACACATACATACATACATACATACATACATACATATATATATATATATATATATATATATATAAATAAAATATTATATCCCTTCTGAGTCCTTCCCCTCCTCTTAAGAGACCTCAGCCACCTGTTTTTCCTCTGTCTTATACCTTGGTGCAAACGTTTGCGTTTTTGAAAAGTCAGCCTTTAAAGTCATAGCAGCTAATCAACAGAAGTGAGTTACGTCTTCTCTCACCTTTCTCCCAACCTGAAGTGTTGCTAAGGTGTCAGGCTGCTGGCGTACCAAGGTTTGACCAACCAGTTCTCTTACCTATAGAAACAGCAACCCCATTTTGGACTGAAAATAAACCCCATCCGTCAAACATCTCCCCATAAATCAAATTTTGCAGTAAAGTCCTTTTTTTCCCCCCTATTGCAATTTGCAGGCAAAGTGTGGCTTTCTATCATAAATACCCCTCCCCACCAGACCCTCCTGGCTATTCCAAGCTATCGGAAAGCAAATTCCAACCCTAGGAATCGTATTTAAATCCACAGTCAAAGCAAGTCTGCTGGTTTCCAATATTTTCATTGCTGCCTTTGTGTACAGAGATGCCCAGCCAACAACAGGGATGCAAAGCTCTGAAAAAAACGAGTCCGCCGTCTTAAACGAAACAGGGTTGTTGTTGTTTTGTTGTTTTTCAGAATGTTTATGAATACCTTATCTTGGAAAGCCGTGGCACAACATGGAATGAAATGAAGGCGAGCTCTTTTATTTCACCGTCTCCCAAATCTGGGTTTCAGCCTTAAGGTGGCATTGTGGGCATTTCACTTTCTGACTCCCTGCATCCCAGAAAAATCTCCCTTTTCTAATATCAATTCCAGGGACTTCAAAGGGAAAAGAAAAGCCCACTTTTCCCCCTTCCTTCCCCCACACCCCCCCCAAGCATCTTCTTACCCTCACACGGTTAAATGCAAATTCAGCTTTCCAGACCTGCTCCGAGGAACAACGCAACAGCACACACAGTTCCTACGCCACCTACTGCAAAACTGTGCTGACAAGCTCATGCGAGGCTTAGCGCACTTCCTTGCCAGCGTGCTTCCCGGGCTGAATCGAGGGGTTTTCGGAAAGAAATCTTCCTCCTGCACCAAGCCAGAGAGAGAGAGGGAGGCCAGGCGAGACGAACAGGTGGGCCATCCTAACCCTCATTGGAGCAGCCCGCGTGAACCAACCCGCTGGGGTGAGATGGAGAACGAGAAAAAAGGCAGCGCGTCGGAAGGCAGGGACCAAGGCAAGCATCCTAACATGTCTCCGGTTACCCTCAACGTCGGGGGCTACCTCTATGTTACCCAGAGGCAAACTCTCACCAAATACACGGACTCTTTCCTGGAAAGGTTAGTCAACGGGAAAACCCTCTGTCCGTCTGACGCGGAGGGCCATTTCTTCATCGACAGAGACGGTCTCCTGTTCAGGCACGTCCTGAACTTCCTCAGGAACGGGGAGCTGCTCCTCCCCGAGGGCTTTAAGGAAAGCCAACTTCTGGCCCAAGAGGCCGAATTTTTCCAGCTTCACCCCTTGGGGGAGGCGGTGAAAGCCAAGTGGGAGAAGGAACAGCTGGCTTCGAGAGAAGCCACCTTTCTGGAAATCACCGACAGCCACGACCGTGCCCAGGGCCTCCGGATTTTTTGCAACGCGCCCGATTTCATCGCCAAAATCAAATCTCGCATCGTTTTGGTCTCGAAAAGCAGGCTGGACGGTTTCCCCGAAGAGTTTTCCGTCTCTTCCAACATCATTCAGTTTAAATACTTCATCAAGTCGGAAAACGGGACTCGGCTGGTTTTGAAGGAAGACAACACCTTCGTTTGCACCTTGGAGACGCTCAAGTTCGAAGCCATCATGATGGCACTCAAATGCGGCTTCCGATTGCTGACCAGCCTGGATTGTTCGAAAGGATCGATTGTTCACAGCGACGCTCTCCATTTCATCAAGTAATTCCTCCTCCTCCTCCTCCTCTCCGCCCTGGGACCAAAAAGGCCACACGCATGCAGCCTGTGAGTCTCATTCAACTTCCAGACGTCGCAAAACGGTTTATCCGGCTCTGCCAATCCCAGAGCATTGCTGCTAATGAATTCGTAAGAACTTATGGTATGTACAATCGTTAACAACAGCAACAAAAATCCACCTGCGAGTTCATTGTGTCCGTTTTCATCACAACCAGCGTAATAATAATAATAATAAAAAAAGGTGTTTATTAGATGTGATGGAAATGAAAGTGAATGTTGAAGCTGCCTCCATCTGTGTTTGTTCAGTTCTGCTTTTATCCTACCCAGAGCCTATCGATGAAACAGGCTGCTCTGCATTTCAGGGTGGCCAGAATGCGTAGCTTCTTGCACAAGAATGATAAAAATGCTTTCTCTTTCTGACTTGTTGTTTGTCTTCCTGGGCTGATGCTGGTTCCAGAGAAAAATGGTTTGGCTTTGTATGGGTTGAAATGTTACAATATGCAGAGTGGTTGCAGGAATTGGGTAGGTCTGGTCTAGTTAAAAAAAAGGACTAGGGGTGACATGAGAGCAGTCTTCCAGGATCTGAGGGGCTGCCCCAAAGAAGAGGGAGTCAAGCTGTTCTCCAAAGCACCTGAGGGCAGGACAAGAAGCAACGGATGGAAACTAATCAAGGAGAGAAGCAACCTAGAACTAAGGAGAAATTTCCTCACAGTGAGAACAATTAACCAGTGGAACAACTTGCCTCCAGAACTTGTGGGTGCTCCAACTCTGAAGGTTTTTAAGAAGAGAATGGACTGCCATTTGACTGGGATGGTAAAGGGCTTCCTGCCTGAGCAGGGGGTTGGACTAGAAGACCTCCAAGGTCCCCTTCCCGCTCTGCTATTCTGTAAATCATGCTGCAAGATCTAAAATACAATGGGATTTAAAATTGTACACAGACATCCAATTTAACTAGCAATACAGAAGATGCCACATCACGTATAGTTGAGGATGTCACATTTTAACTATCAAAACAATAGGAGGAAAGGGAAGGGGGGGGGGAAATCTAACCTTTTATTAATTTTGGTCTTTTCGAGAACAATTTATACCAAGACAAAACTGTTCAGAGTTGCAGAAAAGGAGATTTCGATATTGATCGTCTTTTACATTTTCAAAACCTCTTATCTTTTCGAAAATACACATTTGTGCCAAAATAAGGGGTCTGTGTGGAAATCTAGTTAGCCTTGCAGAGGAGAGAGCTACCTATAGTAAGACTATAGTATACCTATAGTAACACTATCAGCATCGAACAAGACAACCAGACTTTCTATTACACGTTGCTTTGGGGGCTGATAGGAAGGCGTGAAAAAGCACCCAAGTTTGATTTCCATCATAACTTCATTTTCTTTCTTAACAACTCACGTTTTTCTGTCCAAACTTACAGTAATGAAAGAAAACACAGAGCTAAACATTATGCTAGTCTGGAGTTGCTTTCCATTTACTACGACTTGCAATTATTTCTGTCGTGTGTTTCGGAATTGAACTCGCAACAGGGCATCTTAGAGTAATCTGCTAATATATTAATCTGTTCTAAACTTCCTAAACTATTAGGAAGTTTTAAAAAATCTGGATTTTTTTTAACATACAGGAGTGGCCAAAATTGTGGAAACCTTTTTGGGAAAAGTGTATTTTTGAGGTTTGATGGCTAATAACACCACTTTTTTGTTGGAGTTTCAAGGTAATCCTATTCCACTGCTGGAATGAATGGCCTGGGAATAGCCCAGACCTTCACCCAATGGAAAATCTATGGATTTTCTGACTAAAGAAAGTGGTTAATCAGAAGTGACCCAGCAATAAAACCCAGTTAATAGAAACCATCATTCCATCTTGGTTTCACATGATAACAGCTGCAGAACCCAAAGACTTGGTTCACTCCATGGGAAGACGTTGTAAGGCCATCATTCATGCTAAAGGTTACCCAGCTAAGGATTAACTGACATGGAGATCATTTTTGTATATCTCGTTTTTTTTCTACGTGTTTCACTTTTCTTCTTTGTACTGTAACTGCTATTCTAAGAGCAAATCCTTCATAAAAGTTATTGCATTACATTCTTCATTAAATGATCTTTCTATTGATATATAATTTTATGGTACTACTTCAAAAAAAAAAACCAGTGGTGTTATTAGCTAGTTTTAGAAAATACACTTTTCCCAAACGGTTTCCACAATTTTGGCCACTACTGTAGGATGGGTTGGCTGGGAGGGAGATGGGGGAAGGCATGTCCCAAATTATTTTCTCACCTGTCTCCTCTTCCTACACTCCCCATCTCACAACGAAGGGGGAACAGCGACAATGGCTCTTGCAACTTGTAGAGAGGAGAAGCCGTAAAAAAAGTGTGTTTGTAAACGCTTTGCTGAAAAGGAGCAGGGTGCCTTTCCCTCTGGAAGCCTCCCGTTGTATCAAGAGGGCATCATTGCCCTGTTATACAGGCAGTCCTTGAATTATGACCACAATTAGCCACACGGTTGTTAAGTGAATCTGGCTTCCTCGTGGAGTTTGGTTGGCAAAAGGTCGCAAAAGGGGGTTGTGTGACCCCGGGACACTGCAACTGTCATAAGTACATGCCAGTTGCCTCTGGATTTTGATCAGGTGGCCATGGGATGGTACAACGGTTATAAGTGTGAAAAACAACCATAAGTCACTTTTTTCAGTACCCTTGTTACTGAATGGTCACTAAATGAGTAGTTGTAAGTTGAGGACTTTCTGCATTTTGGTGGCCGAGGAGAGGTTCACCCAGGCGGCTTCCTGACTTACAGCTCCGTCTCTTAGCTCAACTGTGAAATTCAACTTTCATTTTAAAATCCATTAACCAGCTTATAAAGCGTCTCTCCTTTCAATTCCCAAATTTTGTTCGATTATAAACTACCTAAAACAACCGAAGTAATGTGCACTTAGCATGGTGTTATTTCACTTATTTATTTATATTGTACTTGTTATTTTTACCACCAACCCAAGGTGCCAAACATATCCAACACACCTTCCTCCTCCTACTTTCCCCACAACAACCACCTTGTGAGGTGGGTTAGGGTGAGAGAGAGAGGGACTGGCCCAAAGCCCACCAGCCAGCTTTCATGCCATGGACTAGAACTCCCAGTCTCCTGGTGATTGGCCCAAAGACACCCAGCCGGCTTTCATAGCTAAGGCAGAACTAGAACTCCCAGTCTCCTGTTGATTGGCCCAAAGACACCCAGCCAGCATTCACAGCTAAAACAGAACTGGAACTCCCAATCTCCTGATGATTGGCCCAAAGTCACCCAGCCGGCATTCATAGCTAAGGCAGAACTAGAACTCCCATCTCCTGGTGATTGGCCGAAGGTCATCCAGCCAGCTTTGATAGCTGAGACAGAACTAGAACTTCCAGTCTCCAGGTGATTGGCCCAAAGTCACCCAGCCGGCATTCATAGCTAAGGCAGAACTAGAACTCCCAGTCTCATGGTGATTGGCCCAAAGTCACCCAGCCGGCATTCATAGCTAAGGCAGAACTAGAACTCCCAATCTCCTGGTGATTGGCCGAAGGTCACCCAGCCAGCTTTGATAGCTGAGACAGAACTAGAACTTCCAGTCTCCAGGTGATTGGCCCAAAGTCACCCAGCCGGCATTCATAGCTAAGGCAGAACTAGAACTCCCAGTCTCATGGTGATTGGCCCAAAGTCACCCAGCCGGCATTCATAGCTAAGGCAGAACTAGAACTCCCAATCTCCTGGTGATTGGCCGAAGGTCACCCAGCCAGCTTTGATAGCTGAGGCAGAACTAGAACTTCCAGTCTCCTGGTGATTGGACCAAAGTCACCCAGCCAGCTTTGATAGCTAAGGCAGAACTAAAACTCCCAGTCCCCAACCATGTTTTGTGCAGCCAGAAGGCTGGCTGGGGGATTCTGGGAGTTGAAGTCCACCCATCTTCAAGCTTCCAAGGTTGAGAAACACTGGAATAGAGTGTCAATGTTTTAAAAAAACCAGTTTCCCACATTTTTTTAATTTAAAAAAAAAGGGGGGGGAATTTTGGTTCACCCATCTGTTGCCATCCCTATTATTCATCCTACTTCTAATGCAACGGGGATCTGTGATTAATGGTCACGCGAGAGAACTAGATCTCAGGATAACATGCGGCGAAGGGTTGGGGAGGGGGCTCTCCAAGACCCCCAACACGATGGTATGCCCCCCTATCGTGGTAACCCTCTGGATCTTGGTTTATATTCGCACTTTGATGGGAGCGACGGCAGATCAGAATTCAGGAACAGAGCACAGAGACTGACAATTGAGAAGAAAGCATTTCGGAATACCCCCGAGTTTCAACCCCTCGTTGGGCTACAAGGTCTCGCTTCGTCCAAATGCACATCGTCAATCAAAGTCACCTCTTTGCCAAAAGACACGGCACGCCAGGAAGAATCTGAGCCTGCTTTCTTGCCACTCTGCTCGGTTTTACATTAGGACAATTAACCGGTGGAACGACTTGCCACCAGAAGTTGTGGCTGCTCCGTCACTGGAGGTCTTTAAGAAGATATTGGATAACCATTTGTCTAAAGTAATGTAGGGTTTCCTGCCTGAGCAAAAGGTTGGACTAGAAGACCTCCAAGGATCCTCCCAACTCTGTTCTTCTTCTTAGAGGGCTCATTTGCCTATGAAGGAAGGCTTCAGGAACTTACAAATATCTGAAATCTGCACCAAGAACTGCCGGCTGGGTGAAGTGATCCCTTGGGATCTACTAGCATGGCTGGCTGGGGAATTCTGGGAGTTGAAGTCCACAGGCCTTAAAGACGTCAAGGTTGGAGACCCCGTTCTGCATAAAATTAGTATGTCTCTCTAGCTTGTATGGTGTGACTGTATTATTATTATTATTATAATCATAATCATAAGTTTATTTGTCAAGTATATATAAGATAACAGGTAAAAGTATAAACATAATTTGAATACATGCAAAGAGTAAGTAAAAAGGAATATTAGGACAGGGACGGTAGGCTCGCTGGTGCACTTATGCACGCCCCTTACAATATAATAGTAATTATGATTATTATCCTTCTCATCTTTTCTACGACATTCTCTTATTAGGATTAGGATTACTTTGTTGTTTTGCATGTACACTGAGAGCTTCTGCATTGGCAACAAATTCCTTGTGTGTCTAATCACACTTGACCAAATAAAGTATTGTTCTGTCCTGTCCTGTCCTGTCCTGTCCTGTCCTGTCCTGTTCCATGAGCCATGGTGGCCCAGTGGTTAGAATGCAGTACTGCAAGTTACTATTGCGGCCTGCCGGCTGCCTGCAATTTGGCAGATCGGATCTCACCAGGCTCAGGGTTGACTCAGCCTTCCGTCCTTCCGAGGTGGATAAAACGAGGACCCAGATTGTTGGGGGGCAAGAGGCTGACTCTGTAAACCACTTAGAGAGGGCTGTAAAAGCACTGTGAAGTGGTATATAAGTGCTATTGCTATTCTATTCCCCATTCCATTCCATTCATTCTATTCCCTTTCCCCTCTTCTTTCCTCTTCTCCTCTTCATTCTATTCCCTTACTCTACTCTACTCTACTCTACTTCACTCCACTCCATTTCTCTTCTCTTCTCTTCCTGTCCTGTCCTGTCCCCTATCCTATCCCACCCTACCATTGGTGAAATCCGAAACGGTTTGCTACCGATTCGCTGGCCGCACATGCCTACAGTGCCTCAAACGCACGCTCTGTGTGCGCGCATGAGCAATACGTGCCAAAAGGAGGCTTGGGAAGGTAAGTGGAAGCGGGGAGGGGGATCAGCTGTGGTGCGCGATTTAGCTTTGCTAGAAAGCAGGATTTCCTGCTTTCTAACAAAGCTAAACCCCGCTGCACAGCTGATCATCAGAAATACCGGAGGAACTGGTAGCTTTTTTTAACTAGTGGTTTGCCCGAACTGCTAGCTTTTTTTTTTTACTACTGATTCGCCCGAACGGGTAGTTTTTATCACTACCGGTTTGCCCAAACCGGAGCGAACCGGTAGCATTTCACCCCCTGCACCTTACCAGGGGTGAAATGCTCCCGGTTCGGACCGGATCACCCGATCCGGTAGCGATGGCGGTAGGTGGTTCGGAGAACCGGTATCAAAAATCCCTGTGCGCCCCCCCCTCCAATGTCCAGCTGAGGGGCACGATCATCAGAGACTTTTTTTTTTTTTACTTTTAAAAGCATTTTTTCTACAACCTCTTCCGAGGAAAAAAATGCTTTTAAAAGTTTTTTTAAAAAGCCTCTGATGATCGCGCGGCTCAGCTGGGATCGTCAGAGGCTTTTCAAAGCATTTTTTAAAAAGCCTCTCTGACGATCCCAGTTGAGTTGCCTGATGGCAGAGGCTTTTCAAAGCATTTTTTCCTGCAACCTCTTGGCCGAAGAGGTGGTAAAAAAAATGCTTTGAAAAGTCTCTGACGATCCCAGCTGAGTTGCCTGATGGCAGAGGCTTTTCAAAGCATTAGAAAAAATGCTTTGAAAAGTTAAAAAAAAAAATTGGCCATGTCCACCCAGTCACATTACCCTCACCACCACCACCAAGCCACACCCACAGAACCGGTAGTAACAAATTTTACATTTCACCCCTGCCCCCTACCCTTAGCAGGAGGACATCTCAATGAGGACAGTGCCTTGCCTCAGTATCCCAAACAGTGGCTTGAGGAAGGATGAATGGACTTTGAGTCCCATCTGGCATTAGAAATAATATGCCAAGACATTCAGATAGAGAAATCTGCTTAATTCTTCCTACAAAAAAAAAAAAAAAGAACAGAATCTGAAACCAGCGGATAGCTTGGTTTTTAATTCGAGGCCAATTACAGTTGTCATAGAGAAACCGTCGCAGAGGGAAATCGCGTTAGGAAAGAAGTGGAGTGCTTGAGGCATATTTGACAATAATTACTCAACTCGGTAATTAGCGGAGGGAAATGCACAATTGTGGCAAATTGGGAGCAGAGAGGCAGCACACCGTCTCTTCCAGCAAAAGAGAGAAGCATCCCCTGCCAACGTGATTCCCACTACCCAACTCTCAACGGCTGAATTCGGGTATCTGGAAAACACATCATTTACGTGCCAAGGATCATTTACCATCATTTACCACCTACCTGGTGGCAATAAAAGCGGCAAAGTGTAACTATTTTTCCGCTCTTATTGCGTCATCAGATAATTGCCCGGCCGCCCTGTTTAGGGTGACCCGCTCCCTGCTCCACCAGGAAGCGCGGGAGGACCCCTTGGAGGGTAGAGCCGAGGACTTTGTACAATATTTGTATGACAAAATCGCTCAGATTCGGGAAAATTTGGACTCTGACTGGGTAGATTCGGGAGGGAGGATGGAGGCAAGTCTTGAGAATATTATCTGGGAAGAGTTTGATTCTGTGACTCCGGAAAACGTGGACAAGATACTGGGCAGACTGAGCGCGGCCACATGTTTATTGGACCCGTGTCCCTCCTGGCTGGTGCTGGCCTCTCGGGAGGTTACACGAGGCTGGCTCCAGGGGATTATAAATGCTTCCTTGAGAGAGGGTGCCTTCCCCGCCGCCTTGAAAGAGGCGGTGGTGAAGCCTCTCCTCAAGAAGCCTTCCCTGGACCCAGCAGTGTTGGCTAATTACCGTCCAGTCTCCAACCTTCGCTTCGTTGCGAAGGTTGTTGAGAGTGTGGTAGCGCAACAGCTTCCTCAGTACTTGGATGAATCGTCTTATCTAGATCCGTTCCAGTCGGGCTTCAGGCCTGGATACAGCACGGAAACGGCATTGGTCGCATTGGTAGATGATCTCTGGAGGGCCCGGGACAGGGGTTGCTCCTCTGTCCTGGTCCTATTAGACCTCTCAGCAGCTTTTGATACCATCGACCATGGTATCATGCTGCACCGCTTGGAAGGGTTAGGGGTGGGAGGCACCGTGTTGCGGTGGTTCTCCTCCTTTCTCTCTGATCG